TTTTTGAAGTTGAGGTTTTAGTGGCAAAAAAGATTCGAGAAAAAAGAATTTCTTAGTTTGGAGCCGGAAGCTGCAGGGAGCCACGATGGTGTTGGTCAAAACACCTGGAGCCTTCCATTTTGTCATCACTTGTCAAATTATCTGTTGTTCTGGACGATCGCAATGCGGGATCTTCTTACAAGGACAAAGCGGCATTTGGACTCGACGTTATTGCAAGCGACGGGACATTTCCGGTCTTTATAAAGTCACGAATTTGATTTGTCTCAAAATTTTGGCTTTTCCAATCAAAAATTGCATGAAGTTTCACAAACATATGAAAGACAAAAATTTAAAGTTACGAAATTTCAAAAAAAAATTTTTTTCGAGCAAATCGTCATTTTTCGTATCCTAATACCTTAAAGCGAGGCATTTTCGAGCAGAGTTCATAAGAAATAGAGTTATTAGACTTTCTCAAAGTCCTTTAAAATTGTTTACCTCATATTACGCTCACTTCGCTCGCTCTCGCAGAGGTCGACTTGGAACAAGTCTAGAGCATAATTTTGTCACGCGATACTTACTTTTGACAGCGTTTGCACATCTTGGAAATCGTCTATGCGATCGGTTACACTTATTTGGGTTGGCCACTCATCTATGCTCAAGCTGTTTGTCACCTTTCATTCTGAAAAGCCGAATACCCCGTTCACACCAGCTAACTTTGTTCAATTATTAATTTCTCTTTCCCACATCTTTCTTTGTTTGGCTGCCATCTTTAAACAGGATTAAAATTCTGCTCGAGGTGTTAAACAAGGTTTAACTGTGCGCGCGGTATGAACGGCCACTAGATAAACTTGTCAACTTTTAAACATGCTAAGGTCACATGGTGTGAATGGGGAAAACGTTTGTTACATTATTACCGGTAAATTTTTGCTTTCTAGTCTCATTATGATATGCTAAGAAAGCGGTGATCTACCTACCGAAAAGATTGGGAAATATTTAAATTTTTACTAGTAAATTTAGTACTAAAGGCGCGGACACAGGGTGCAACATTGCAGGCAATGATACTGAAATAGAGTAGTTTTCTACTTCAGCAATGCTGCGTGCAACAAATTGCGGCTTGTGTCATGGCTCGCAGCATCAATAATTACATGCAAATTGCGCGCAATATTGCACCGTGTGTCTGTCCGTAGCTTAACTTATAAATCTGGGGGCTCTGAAAAGAGCACACACATTCCATTTCGACGTACACTGTGCCAGGTAGATCGCGTTTTTCTAGTTTTTTTCCTAGTTGAATAATACTTACTGAATGTATCCTGTTCAATTCTCAGAAAACGTTTTAGAAAATGGCAAAGTATACCGCGACCTTTTCCTCCAGGAGGTTGCTGCTCAGTCTGCTATGAATGAAGAGAGTCGACAGCAAAATCAAATGGTTAATGAAAAGCTTGATATCATAATTGCGAACCAAACGAATAGCGGTCAGTCTGATATCAGAAACCAGCTGAGTCCCCGACGTGGCGGTCCTAATTGGGATGAATGGATGAAGTTCTTTAATGCTGTTCGTGGTTTTGATCATTGCCAGAATAATTATATTCTCATAACTGACGCAATTTCATCAGATTTGATGGAGTGTTTTTCCACTCTTCGAAGCGTACCGTGGAAAATGGTCCTCGATCTTGACTCCTCATCCGAAGAGAATGGAATGTATAAAGACTTTGCTTCAAAGGATGGGAAGAACAGTCTCATTAATATGATCACACCTGCCGAGATAGGACGCCTGTCTATCGCCAATCTTGCTCGGCACATTGATGCGAACAAGACTCAATGGATGTTTGTCAATGGAAGAGAGAGCGATGGATCTGACGGGGGGCCTCAAGATTTTGAGGACTGGGAAGATATTTCCGTCAAAGAAATTTCAGCCTTTTTCAAGTGTTTCTCAGAACCCGAAAAACTTGACAAAAATAAGCCAGTTGTTTGCTTAGTATTGCCATTCAGAGAAGAAACAGCTGATTTTTTGGATGTAACGATAAGAAGGCTGCTGGAAAATTTCAATGATTTTAACTTAAATTTCGTTGAGGTTACGCCAAAAGACCAGTCCTCTGCATTTCCAGAAAAATTGCGAAAGAAGCTAAAGTCCAAATTGTGCACTACAGATCTTGATCCAGATGTTTTGTGTCTGGGATTGAAACAACTGTTTAACATTTCTTCACAGCAAAGTTACCGCATGCCATCTTCTCAAGCAAAGATATCTGCAGAGCTGACACAAAAAGAGTACCTGTATCTCAAAGAGTATTTAGATGTGCTGTACGAAGGTTGTGAGGATCTGCCAAACATGACCGATGATGAAACAGACGAAGAAGATGAAGACAAATTTGATGACTTGATTGAAGAACACAAAAAATCCTTTATGTCTGGAAATTGGATTTCTTTTTTAAGTCTATCTTACAACCATGACGCAAAAAGAGAAATCAGCAACGAAATTCGTATCCATATCCAGCGTCTCCTAGATCAGGGTCCCACACACCCGTCTATTGTTGAAGTTTCTCATTCTCCGGGTTCTGGTGGGTCAACGATAGCGAGGCGTGTGATGTGGGATATACACAACGCTTACCCGTGCACATTTGCAAAGCTAGAGGACCATAAACTTGATCTTGAAGATGCAGACAGTGCTTTCCTAAATAATTTGGCTGAGCGCATTAGTTTTCTCCAAGATAAATGTAACACAACCCCAGTGGTACTCCTAGATGGAAAGCACGCTAGGATTGATGCCCTGAGTAACAGGTTATCTCGTATTCTTAAGAGCAAAGGAAAGAAAGCTGTCTTGTTGAGGTGCAATCATAGTTCAGGAAGGCATAAGAGTCAAAATACAGAGTCTTCAGATGTTCATGCTGTTTTTGCTGTAAACGTAAAACTTGAACGATCAAGCACAGATTTAAAAGAATTTGAAGAGAAATACAAAGATTATATTCAAGGATTTAAGGAGATAAAATCAGTGTCAGGCCTCTCCAGAGTGTTCCATTTCCCACTCGTTGCCATGCTAGAGGAATTCAGAGAGAAGTTGCAGCAAATAGTTTTTGAAAGTTTTGAAGAAATGGAATCCACAGAGAGGGAAATAATCATTGTCGTTGCCTTTTTACAAAGGTACGCGGCTCAAGCAACACCAGCTCCTTTGTTATACGAAGCATTCAAGAATTCTGTTCTTCAACCCGAGCTTTTTCACCGCGAGCGACAGGGGATCACATACGAAGATATAAGCAAAATCATGCCAAAACACATGCAGTTTTGGAATTTGATGGTGCCTGCTTACCCTGCGAAATACATTCATCGGGGGCGATTTAAGAGAACCAACAAATTTCAAGAAATGTATACTCTAAAGCATCCTGTTGTTGCTGAATTAGTCCTCAAGAAAGCAAAGATTTCTCTTGAACGTGATACGCTCTCCATTGCTCGTGATTTCCTTGGTCTTCTTATTTACGAAGATAACCGTTTCATCCCATTAATGCAAGATTTGTTCGTGCAAAATGGTTGTGGTCCAGGAAGGTTCTCTTTGCTATTCGAGGAGTTGAAGAGAATAAGTCCACAAGAAGCTGGGGATGTGTTTTACGAGGCCGCAGAAAAGACCAAAGATGTTGTTGTGGTCACAAGCGCAGCACGGTTTTATGCAAAGGTACCTCCGCTTCCATTTTCAAAAGCTAAAGAGTTGATCAAAATGGCTTTTAAATGTAGAAATGCCAAAGAAAAAAAGAAAACGATTCATGACGTAAATGGCATTGTTCTTCTAAAAGAGATGAAGTTATTTTCAAAGAGAGGCAAAATCAAATCCTTACAAGAATTACAAGACAAAGCAGAGGAAGTTCTTAGATCATTTAGAAATGCAAGGACCTTTCCACCTACCTTCCCTAACCCTCTTATTGGAGAGGTCAAGACATGGTTGACTTGCATAGATTGGATAGCAAAAAACCACTGTCATGGAGACACTGACAAAGCCTTGGAATTCATAACCTCAAATGATGCTCCCCCCTTCTTTCGTTCGTGTGTGAATGAGTCATTTCATCTTCTCAACATTGTTGATGAAATTGTTCAAACAGTGAACACTTTGTCAGATCCAGAAACCACACAGAAAGAAGCTAACTCGGGACGCATTTCACTCATGCAAACTTTCAAAAAGGGAAAAAGCGACACTGATGACGTAATCAAAGCATGTAGAGCTCTTTGCTCTGTGGACAGGTTCCCTACTTCATCTGAACTGGAGTTAAAGCGGCTTCAAGTACAATACGTTTTTAGCTCTAGAAAAGCGCTTGAATCACTCAATGGTGAAGGACACAAGTACTTGCTTGATTTACTAACAGAGTTAGTCGAGGTTGAGAAAGACGCAATTTTTGCTAAACATTTAATGAGAATTTGCGTTCTTATTAATGGATATTCATTGGATAAAGGTCTGGAAGTTTGTGCAATTTGGAGCAGGAATTCCAGTTATGATGCTCTTCCCTGTTTTTACGAAATGATGATTTACTTCCTGAAAATTCTCGATGGAGAGGGTTTGGAGTTAAGGTCAAATTATCAAGAGGCCCTAGAGAATTGCCGAAAAAAGTCCGAATACAATTGTAGGAGGACAATGAACACTCATTATCTAAGTAAGGCAGGAGAAGGAATGTCTCGCCTTATGAACAGAAATACCTTGTTTCAGGGTGAAACAGAATATAAATCCCCCAGCGAAACACCTGAAACCTATTGGAAGACCAATAGCCGTAAGAAGCTTCTAGAGTGTTGTGGTCGCATACGAATCAGCCCATCATCATATGGTAAAAAGAACTACCATATCGAGCTTCTTCAAAGCAACATCAGGCTTCATGTCGCCAAGAGCGCTGGCATTGGAGAGGCTGGTCCAGATTTTACTCCTAACAGCCAGGTCTACTTCGTCGTTAGTTTTAACCTCCTAGGGCCAGTTGCCAATGGCATAACTTTTGAACCATGTATCCGTAGTACGTTCTACTGAAAAGGAATGAGAGAACTGATTCTTAAGACTTTGTACCAAATTTCTTCTGCAACGTCTGTACAAGATATATGAACAAATTTTCATTCAAATGAAAGACTTGACAAGATTGAGTAAAGCTCAACAAAAACAAATCTATTTTTGTGATTCTTCCTAGAAAATCAGCAAATAGCAGGAATTATTACTTACAAGTTAAAAAATGAAATGCGGGAACGTTACTGACTGTGCTACAGTAATTTGAGTGCTTATGAAGAAAAAGATCTGGCATTGGCATGGTTCTAGGGACTGTTCCTTATAAGAATGATTGAAAACCAGCAATTATCACCAGGTAGAAAGTTACAACATGCAAGCAAAAAATACAAATAAGTGTCAGGTAAAAGGGTTGAAGCTCTGTGGATATTTCTTTTACTTGGTATATATCCCTACAATTACTTACCAGATAAAACAACCATTAGTTCTCTATGAATATATTAGAGTAGATAATGTAATTGAACAAAGTTCATACAAATATATATATATATCAATTCTTTTTACGATTTTATTGAAGAACCATACACGTTTTGAACTTCAAGAGGGCGAAACCCTCAAATTTTGCACAGGACTTTTTACTTTTTTTGTAATTTTTCCGGAATAACAGGTTAGTAATATCCCATTAATTTTCAAAGTTTAAGACAATTTTGTTGATTAGAACAATGAAAAAAATGTTCTGTTTGTTTTGTGCTCAATTTGTACGATATTTCGCACACCGTAACCTCGAAACTAAAAAAAACGTTTTTTTCATTATCTACGATAGTTGATTAAAACAACTTTTATGGGTATTTTATAAATATAGTGTTAGTTACGTGTTCGGAGGAAATTGCTCATGTTTCTTTCTTGGTTTCGGTTTTATGATTTTTTTTGTAGAGAGCTTAATTTTCGCTATTTTTCTTCGAAAAGTTTACAAACGCATGTCATTCCAGAGTGATAATCTCAAAAACAAGCTCGTGGAACCCGATTTTTCTTTGCATTTTCGGAATCAGTATTAAATTTCAGGTTAAAAAAATTCAATTTTCTCTTTATTATTTACCACACCTTAAAAAGTCAAAATTAATATCTTTGAAATTGGTAAATAATAAAGAGAAAATTGTTCCTAAATTCTTCAAGAGATTAAAAGATACTTGTCAAAATACTGGAATACTTTTTGAGTAATTTCAGGTTCAGTACAGATCCTACAACTGGCTACTTTTATTTGCCAACTTAGTCAAACAGTTCTTCATCAAAATGCTAAGGCAACACCTAAGGATTAGTAATATCAGTTGTAAGTATCGCTATAAAAAGATTCACACAAACCGGTTTAAAGCCAAAGAAAACAATAACAAGCATACAAAGGCACTTGGGATACTAGTGAATCATCCTCTGCCTCTCACCAATACGACCCAGGTTCGAGTCGATCAAACCCACTGAGCTTGTTGTTGTATGTGAGCTGCTTGTTGGTTCTCTCCTGTGCTTCAAGGGTTTTTCTCTGGGTTCTCCAGTTTTCCTCCCTCCACAAATATCAACTTCTAAAATTCTAATTGGAATATCAGTGGATGAAGAGCCAGCCACTATGTCCGGAAGGCCACTACACAGTTTTCTTTTTATTCAATAGCAAGTTGTCCTTAATATTGGGGTGTCCACAGGGGGAGAATCAACTGTATTGTTTTAATGATAAGAATAATGGTTGCCCGAGGTAACAAAATAACAGCAACACAAATGAAATCACAATAAATATTACACTAAATATCCTGAAGGAAAATATACTCATTTGAAAAGCTAAGCAAAAAAGTAGTTTTCCATTTTCAATACTCTCAGGCATACCAGCCACTTTTTAGACAAATTTGATAGGAAGTATAGGCTGTGCAAGTTGTAAATATAGGAAAATACCTTTTTATTAATATGTTAGAGTGCACGCACTAAAACCGTGAACATTAAATAGCACTAATTAGTACTATTTCATACAGAATCCTTTGTTTTCTATTGTTTAATTATCACTATTTAGTGCTAAAATTAGTATTTGTTTCACGGATTTAGTGTGAGCACTCTAAACAGTGTAAAATATAAATGAATCACTCAGGAAATATAGGAGGTTTTCTTTAAATATAGGCTCTTTATAGGATCCTATACAAATTATAGGAAATATAGGATAAATAGGAGGTCTGGGTGTTTGTACTCTGATCTAAACATACAGGATACCTGAGCGAATACAAGAGAAGCCTACAGCAGGGAGAAAATGACATGATCAGCATTTTAGATAGTTACTCTGACACCTTAAATGGCATTTTTACCCATCACTTATTAGAACTCAGTTATTTTATTAATTGTTTTTTAATATTTGAATTCTTTCTGGCAACTTCTGCAATAAAGTGTCACCGTTCATAACATTCCATCAGGAAGCTTTGAAGTCAATTTCTTTAATTTTGCAATAGTCGTTAAGGCCCATAATTCTCTTGTTTCTTTAGAGGGTGGGGAAGGGGTGAGGAGGTCGAGAATCGGAATAAATAATTTAAGAATCTAAACAAGCCTAATTTGATGGTCAGTTATAAATCCATGATAAATACTAAAACTAAATACACTTGCAGTGTTAAGTTGACCAAAATCCTATTATTTAAATTTATTACTTGGCATTATAAAGAAAATAAAACTGCTCATCCTCCTCAGCAGAAAAACATTAAAATTAAAAACTCTCAATTTGAATGATTTCCTAATCATTAATTTTCAGGAAGACCCTGAAATTTTCCAGGTATATGAAGCACCTTTGCACAAAAGTTCTTTTAGGCAGTTCTTTTGTAATTCCTTTTGAGACTGTGACAAATACTCAGCTTGTGATTGTGACAGTCCATATTTGCTGTGAGCCACCAAAGGAAGACCCTCCTCATTACTAACTGATGGTATGTTGAAGGCAACAGTAGGTTGGTACTGCACCATGGTAGCAGTGAACTCTCCTTTTTGTGTAGTATGTAATAACTTACAGATGTTATGTAGACATCCTGGTAATATAGGACCAGTTACTTCAAGGCTGAATAGCTAAAACAGCAAAATACACACAACAACGTAAGGATTTCAGATGAAATGCAAAGATATGACAAAACATGACGCTGCAGCTATATTACTAGTGATAGTTTCATCAGAATGATGATGAAAGTGAAAAAATGTCTTGTTTTATCAAATCTATGCATTTTATCCAAAATCCTTACATTCATCATGTCGAAATGCAAAAGCCTTGAAGATGCTACAGTAAATTCAATAATATTGAATTTTTAAGCGCTTTACAGTGCTGGGAACCATACATACAAAACTATAGCTGAGTGTCAGGAATATTTTAGATGGAACTACATATGTATAATGCCTCATTGTCTTTAAACACAAGATAACCCACAATGAAAAACCCAATGATGTCCCAAAATAAGCCTTTTGCAATAACATCACATGATCCACCCCATTTTGAAATGAGAAGTTGTGTCAAAATGGACATCAGAAATGGAAAGAGCACCTCAATATTACTAAGAGCTTTCATGTTATACTAACCTGTTTCATTTCTTTTGTTCTCTGGTGCCTCACAATTCCTTGATGAACTTTATGAGATCTTAGGGTAGCACCTTCAAAGGCAACAGGTGAGATAAGCGTTGGAGGGACACCAGCAAGCTGACCATTCTTAGGGGTTATACTTCTCCAGTTCAAGATAAAATTATACAAAGCTTGAGTGTCACTGCCTTGAACAACAACAGTAGAGTTTGGATGTTGATCAGTGTTTCTGGTTTTTGCCATTTGGATATTGTTCTTGTGTGATTCTAAAGTGGCAAACTGTTCTTTGTTTAGACCCATGCTCTGTAGCCAGTCTTCTTCATCCTCCCACTCCTGTGCATCAACTTTTTCATCATGGTCATTATCTTCAGCTTCTGAATCAGAGCCAGACATGTTGGACTCTTCATTCTGACCATGAGGCAGAGTGTATTCAATCCCTGGAAATAAAGTACAATAAGTASATGCCACATATATTTCTACATTGTACCCTTTTCCAGAAAACTATTGTATGAAAAAGTCTAATACAACGTATCACCAAACTGGGTTTTCACACCTGAAAAACATACCTCAGTCATGCCTCCAAATGTCTATGGCTTTGCCAACAAACATAAAGACTAAAAGGTTGAGTTGTTGGCAGGGTCGTAGACGTTTGGAGGCATGACTGAAGCATGTTTTTCTGGCATGAAAACGTTATAGTTTGGTGATCTCCATAATAGTTCAATGGTTCATATTAYTTTGAAAAGCCACAACGCCAAGGTATGACAAATTTAGTTCAGAATAGACCAATGTTTTGACATTACAAAGCTAAAAATAACAATAATTGTATTAATATTGTTGTATTAGACTTTTTCATTTGATTGATAATGYCCAGCTTGTACATTGCTTTTTTACTTGGGCAATAAC